GAGTTCTCTTTCGTAATAGTCGATTGTATTGACCACTGTTGCCTCTTTGATGTCAAAGAGGTCAGCAGACAACCTTGTTGACTTGTTGATTACCCTCGAGATAAAGGCTATTTTCTTAAGCTTGACAATGCTAGATAGAATAAAATCATGCAAGGTGGGAGTATAGAAAAAAAGACTAAAAAAACATAAAAATTGATTAATTACATGATTGGTCACTAAACGTTTCGTAAGATTTCCAGTGGATTATAAACTTCAAATGTTTTCTCATTAGTCACTAAACTGTACAAATGTAATCACATCCATTACTGAGGACTTCAAAAATTTCCTTATTATTCACTGAACTTTACAAAATGTAATATCATACATCACTTAGACATGTTTGATAAGTCATTTTTTCCATGGAAGTTGGAAAAAAAATTCATTTTCTTGCTTTTAGGTTGTTTGATATGCAATATTTTCTAGGTAAAATATTTTCCCACCCCCACGCTTCCTTTTTCCTTGATTTGAGGGAAAGCATTTTCCCACCATTTTGGTGGGAAAATGCAATTCTAGGTTTCTGTATTATTTATTTATTTATTTATTATACAATGGAAACAAATTTCATAACTAATTGTAAAAAAAAAATCATTTTAATGGATAATTTCCATGTAAAATAAAGCCAAACGTAAAAAAAAAAAATCCAAAATTTCAATTTTTTCCAGGGTGGAAAAATTATACAAGTCAAACGCACTTAATTAACAATTCCCTGGAAAATACTTTTTAGGCAATTACTTTCCCTAGAAATCATTTTCTTTCCACCCATTTTCCACTCTTGCAATCAAACGCACCATAATAGATAAAACGCAATGATAGATTACAAAACATAATTCACGTTGTCGACTTTAAATTATATTAAAAATTTGGCATAGTCCACTCACAGTTGTTTGATATTATCACGATCTCATATTTTTATCACTTAACTAATAGTCTAATAATCGATCGTGCACTCTTCCTACTAAGGCCGCAATGCTAAAAGCAAAAGAAACCCCCCGTCCTTCCACAAACAAATAGAAAGGTGCGTGTTAAGAATAGAGGTACAAACTGAGCCGAGCCATTCAGAACAATATAGGTACGACAAGGCCCTGGTAGGCAACATAAACTCCTAGACGAGTTGGCCAAGAAGTTGGTAGCTCGATTCTCATGGACCATTACATTTTTTAAGGGGAAATAAACAAAGATGACTAGTGCATTGTATTTCGCTATGTCAATGTCGACAACAAAACAGTCTCACTCTTTGATTCTAATTCAATTTTCTTCACATTTCTTCAAAACCATCCGTTTACATGGAAATGGCCACAAACTTATTGCCTCCACAAAACCAGGCATTAGAATCTAACAGATTTTTACCTCGAGCGGGTCAATTTCGATTTTCGAGTACACGTTTAAATTGCTGTATAAGAAATTGACAATTTACCTGGACTTTTCCAAGTCCATGCCCGTTGTTGCTTTGCTCGCGAGAATGGGTGGCTTGGCACGAATGACACGGACCAGGGATCAATCCATCTGGAGAGGTGAATTCGACCGGCTCTCTAGGCTCACAGTCCCAACCCAATAGCCACAGAAATACAAAATTTACCCTGTTCGGATGAACTACTCGATACACCGAAAGATCTAAAGCAAATAAATCCTGGTTTGAGAGGTGAAAAACTATGATCTAGCAATTAATAGAATTCTCCATTACTTCTATAGAACAAATTGTTCACAGTGACGAGAAAATTAGAGCGCAAACTTACAGAATATTTAATAAAATTTAAAAGAAAGGAAGAAGAAGAAGAATATCAAAACATTATATTAAACAATACATTAAAAGATTCAACCAACCCCTCTTTCCGCTTCCAAGGACCCTTGCATGGGTTAGAATATAACATTGATTGCTGGGAGAGAACCCCAACCACTTTTGAACTTTCAACACTTCTTCAGCTGCGCAACACCATCAAAAAGGCCTAGTAACTTGAAGCTTTAATTAAAGGACATGTAAACACAAGAATTGGATCATTGCGTCAAAACACGAGCTAGTTACTGTCAATTGCTCTATAAGAAATAATCAGGAGTTCTCCGAGTTACATCAGGTTCCCCTCTCCTTGGAGCTGGCTCAAACTGCAACAGTCAAATCACAAGCCACTCAGATAATTAACCCACATTGCACCAAAATACAGAGAAAAGATCACACTCAACAACTGATATTTCATTGTGTTACAGATTCTCGAGGATAGTTAAATGTCAAAATAAGGTAGCCACACACACATGAAAGGAAGGAGAGAAGGGAACCTGGATAAAAGTATGCTCTCTGTTATCATCAACTTCCAAAATGGATGCCATATTCCCACAACGATAACAATAATTTGGAGCACTGAAAATTGTGACAACCTTTTGTTCCTGAGATAGTAGTCAAATTTGAACATGACAACCCTCTTCAACTAATAGTGCAAGTGATGAACTGGTTAAATATTACTACAGGTAAACATTTACATGGGCCCAATTGTATCCCTCCATAACCAACTGATGAGCTCTAGCAATTAGATTTAAGTTGTTGGTATGATTGAATTGCTCTGATATGTCCTGTAATAGGTGGACAGTCCATGGAACTGATTAGATTAAAGAAGAAATGGAAACAAAAACCTCCAGTAAATAGATGAAGGTACCTGGCCAAACGTGTATCCCGCACCACGGGGGGAGATACCCCAACCGCATCGATCATCAGGGTCAGACCATAAAAGATCACACATGGGACCTTCATGTGGAACTTCTTGAACCCGGTCAAAGTTTCTTACATTATCAAGGGTCTCGATAGAGGGGGAAAGCCCACCATGCAGACAAAATATTTCTGATTCAACCTATTGATCAGAACACTATCAGAATCAACTTGCAAGCAAAATAAACTTACAATAAAATGAAACTGAATTTATTCACTTTTATTCCTTCAACTTAAAAAGAAAGCATATTTCTCCATTCTTGTGTTACAATTATCATCATCTCCGACATTGAAATTAACATGAGTTTTTATTAAAGGCTAAATAAATTGTAGCTTTTGTCTGCAATCGATACCCTCTTTTGCACTTCTACTCCCAACCTCTATTACTTCGATATTCCTACCCTCAACCTCTCATAAATTAGCAGCCTCCTTCCCTATTCACAGTTTCCATCCAAAATGGCTGTTAAGTGAGTATAGAAAGACAAACATACCCTGAACTTCAAAATAAAATAAAAAATAGAACGAAAGTAATAAAATGAAAAAAGAACTATCTTCTCTGGTGACTATTTCCATCCCTAGCAGCACCCTGCCGCCAACCCTACCCCAAGCAGCACCCACCACCACAATTGACATTTCAAAGACATTCAGAAACCATAATGGATGTTTAAACAAAGCTCAATCTTTGAATAAATTCCCCATAAAAAACGAAGAAGCTTCAGCTCGTGAAAAGAATCCTGACATGATCAAACAAGAAAATGAAATGAAACTGAAAGGAAAAGTAAGAATGCTAACTATTAATTCTTGAACTTCCAAAAATTTTAACGTAAAGAGGCAGGCCGATTTTGATATAGCAAAATAAAACAAAAATGGAAGGAACGTGAAAAGATGATACATTGACGACAACAAAACAAAATAAATGTTTGGTTCAATGTTCAACGCAGATCTATGTTTATAAAATTTGAAGTGGGTGGAGCTGAGATATATTTTAAATTTTTCCATCAATTAATTATTGGGTGGAGCTGATATATATTTTAATTTTTCCATCAATTAATTATTAAAACCCTAACCCACAACCACATTGTAATGGATAAATGGTTGTTTCGATGCCCAGGTGATTGGTTCATTCTTCCCTGCAAATGGATATAGTTCAATGAGCTTCAGAATGAGCATTGTTGTTTGTAAGCTTTCTCCTGACGAGATAGCAGATGATTTGAAATGAAGAAAGAGAGAACGGCAAGGGATGATGGATCTGGCTATTACTGGACGATGTTCATTTTATCATTGTATTCTCCAGATCTGTTAAAAATACTTCGCCTCCAGCAATGGACACAAACCTCTACGGTGGTAGCTGGGGGCTTGGGGGTGGTAGAGAACTGATGGAATGTGCGCGTTTGTAGTAAGGAGAATGAAGGGAAGGGTGAGGGAGATAAAGTTTTAATTTCAATTTATTTGTTTCTTTTTCTATTCGATTGAAGGGTAATTTTGTCTTTCTACACTTAAAGAGTCAAGTTGGAAACCAGGACCACTAATTTTATGAAAGGTTGAGCATAAGAATGCCAAGAAATAGAGATAGGGGATAGAAGTGCAAAAGGTGGTATAGTTGGGGACGCTAGCAATTTAGTCTTATTTATGGAGCATGATTAACAAATATCTAAACCTTTTCACTTTAGTCAACCAATATAGCAAATTGCATGTGATATCCTTCACGGGAAAGTAGATGGTAATAATCAGCAATTAACTTTTCACAGATATTATAAGGAAGGACTTTAATTTATTTGAAAACAAAATACATTAAAAAGTGAAATGCCAGTTACCAGAAAATTTTACTAACCAATGCAGTCAAAGGGAAGTAGTCAAATAAGTCCGTGAAAGTCTTCCAAACATTAGCATTTCCATACCTACACATCAAACAGCAAATTTCAATTTATTAATGACAAAATGGCGAGAAAAAGGTAGGAACAGATTTATGTAAAGAACTCATATACTATACAGTGTGTCTAGAAGACCCATGGTATTAAAATTGCATTTAGAAACTCAGTATGCAATTTTACATAATCTTCGAATTGTGCATGTAGCACCCTAATCAGGGAATGGTAACTTGGGTAAAATTCCGAGTCAAATTTGTATTTCATGCAGTCAAACCTGCAGTTTAGCAAAGAATGCAAATCATATGAGCCGCATGTCCATGTGCATATGCAAGTGTGTGGGCATGATTGTGATCGACACAATGCACCTGATTACTATCTAAGTCATTTAAACCTAGCTATACCCAGAGCACTGGCAGACTTAGCAACTACGATCTGCGGCCCACATCCAAGAGCTTTGTCCATTACGTATTATTGTTCAGCTGTGCACTCTATCTGACGCTAAATATAATTGCACAAGCTTCCCTGTCATCTTCACCTTTCAAAAAATCAGAATTTTCTTAATAACATGCAAGAGCATCACGTAACTAAGTTGACGTATACGATATTTTACATGAGTATGATTTCATCCATTTATGAATATAAATGTTTACCCCAGGGTAAATATATCATGGTGATGCTATTAAGAACATCTTGACATTGAGAATTTATAAACAAGCAGTCTCTGCACTTTCAGCCACTAAGGCTAGTCAAATTCGTGATTTGAATTTTAACATCCCAGGTTTCGTTCAGACTGACAAGTCAAGAAGATTAAGACATTTTTTCCACTGATGAACTGCTATAATATACCCTCTCCAACTAGTGTTTTGCTAAAAACATTAGTATTACGCATAGGTTTTGCTTCTTTAATGCACAATACTTTCAGTTTGCTGTCCAGGAAAATCAAAGGAAGATTAACAATGACAATTATCTGACAACCTCAATAGATAGTATTTTAGTGAATATGAAACACATAGGCCAAAGCACCCAAATTAATTTGTCCTCTGTAAATTATCAGAAGAAAGGGGGGATGAAGTGCAATTAAATTCAAAAGAAAAATCAGTAGTATGATAGTAATATAAATCTAGTTTAAATCAAAAATCAGGCAGGACATCAAGAACTCACTTCCGCAGGCATTCATCATAAAATCCATAGACCTGCGTAATCTGCAAGCAGAAAGAGAAACTAATATTTAGTTTTGGCATTCAAAATAGATTAGCTCATGACATTCATTCAGCTAAACAAGAAAAGAAAATTAAAGAAATAAAATGCCAAGTCATGCAATAGTGAAAACAATGTTAAAAAAAGGCTCAATCGGGTACCAAAGCATTTCACCTATTTGAAATCGGTTTGTAAGCACCAAGGCATTTTGATTTTTGAGGCACAAGTCTCAAGAGAAGCTAATTAAATAATTCAAAAGAATATAAAATTACAAAAATATGCTCATAGTAAACCATAAACGATCTTAGATCTATAATAAAACAACTTCATGAACACAAGAAAGAAAAAGAAAACAAGAAAACACTGTATAACATTCTACATCATACAAAAAAATAACCGAAAAAGCTGATATCAATAACAAAAATCCTGAAAAAGAAAAGACAAAAGAGTCATGCCTTAGCCACCCCAAGGTCTAAGACTCAGTAAATAGGGACATAAACCGTGGAGAAATGTCACACAGTGTAAGCTTTAAGGTGTTTAATAATAGTGTCATGTGAGGTGCACCTCAAGAGATAAAGCTTTGAACAACTCTTCTAAAGAATGATACAAATATTAATTCCTTCAATTATACAGTTCCAAGGTTCCCCAACAACAGAGAGAAACACAGAAAAATTCGATGAACTGACGAGGTAACAATAACACCAGACCAAGTACAGTATTAAATAACAGCTAAAATAAATGTTTAGGACCCGCTTAATCTTGATGAACCCCTCACTTTTGACTTCAACTTCATGCAAATTGATCAGTCTGTCATTTACCAAACAACCCACAAAAGCAAGCTCAAATCTAATTTGAAAAAATAAAAACAAACACAGGCTTAAACTAGTTTAACCAGTTACATGCTCAACAAAAAAATTTCAAGAAATTCAACATGTGTTACATCGTAATTGCAGGTATCAAAACCCCATACACAAGCGGAGGCACACCTCAAAATCAACAAGAGAACAGGAACCATGCAGCTATCACATAATATCATGCATTAATAGATAAGTTGTGAAGCGACTAATTTCATTCACATCATGTTTTTAGCAATAAGTCGCGACATATCATCATTCTCCGTTTCATTGTTGTGATATCAAAATAAAAGTGTCCATCAAAAGTTTTTCACTGACATTAAAGGGGCATAAGAAATAAATTAATACCTGTCTACTTTCATGATTTCCCCTAAGAATAGTAATCCGTTGAGGATAACGCACTTTCAGAGCCACTAAAAGCTGCATAAAATAAGCATATTAGTGCCTTCCACTATGTCACAGATGAATTCATTACTAATATGCAAACTACCAAGGCTCTCATATAATCAGATATATCTGAGAGATGATAAAGAAAATAGCGAAAATGAAGAGGGAAAGAGCTGCTAATTATTGTAACCCGATTATAAAACCAAAGTTGTGGTGGTGCAACATATATTTATGGTTTAGCTTCTACTTACAGTGACAGTTTCGACTGAATAATACCCACGATCTACATAGTCTCCCATAAATAGATAATTTGTATCTGGACACTGTCAATAGGACAATTGAACTGCATTAGAATGCTGGAGGTGCACTCCTTACACGTTGGCATGTCTAAACATAAATTTACTGAAGTAACAGCTAAACGTGAAGACAATGAACTCAACAGAGTTGACACTTCAATGAATTAGACAATCTAAAAGAAGACGTGCTCTATGAACTCACAAGAGGAAATATTCCCAAAACCATTAGTATTTTGATTTACAAAAAGGAACCTGAACTACAGAGCAATGAATTGACAAAGCATAAATATAGGTCCCATCTTGCTAAGATCTTATTTTGAATTGCATTCAGAGATAAGGCCCTGCTTCTGTATTTATGTCTAATAAATTCACAAAGAAGGGACCAGAAGGGGCCTGGGGGGATAAATACAAATGGGGAGAAAATTTACTAGAGAAACAATTTTAAAGTACTAGAGTTAAGGTCTTCAAACTTCAGTACTACCATTCACCAAAACACTTCCATCCTATGATCCTAACTCATAATATGAGCATGTAATCATTGACATATGCAAGTATGAATCCATATGTTAGAAAAAATTGAATATCCAAGCTTGAGTATTTCAACATAAGACGATGTCCAGCTCTTTTTACTCTTTTCTTTGTTTATGTGGTAATTTGAGTTTCACAAATACAAAAATAGTGTTAAAAGTAACGTACAAAAAATTCTGATTAGTGAAAAAAAAATCTTGGTTGTTAAATTTCTGATTATGTCCGATCCAATCAATTTTGATAGGACCTCTTCTCATTTAATTATGACTGCATCTATAGTTGCTTAATATCAAAAGAGAAATTACAAATTGCAAAACAACCAATGACAAAGGAGTCATTCTCATGTGTTAAAAACCCATTTTTTGACAACAAATAAACAAAATAACAGTAGAATCATCAAAGAGGAAAATGCAGTATACCTATCAGCAAATCTTTTTATTTCTATCAAAGACATGAAAAAGATCGACAAAACACTAAGTTAACATTCAAAAGAATACGTCAAACAATGCCAGCATATATATTGCTTATCACACTTCAACCTGTTATGGTATCACAAGACAACCTCCTTTCTCAACGCCTCCTTCGATCCATCTCAAAGACTCACTTTTCCCCTAGCTCAAGACAAAAAAAAAAAAGGAAATGTCATAGGCTACAAAAGATACCTTCCCCCCAATGCGGAAAAGTTCAGCAAGATCGTGAAATTGCCCATGAATATCACCACAAATTGTCACGGGGCTTTTGACAGGCTGCATAGCAGGAGCAAAGAAATCAATAAAGCATATCTTATTACACATGTTCCCGCATACGCTACGGAAAAACAAAAAATTACTAGATGACATTTGAAATGCATAATCGTGAAATATCAGCTACTTCACCATAAGTCATGATATGTGCTTCATAATTATGTGCAATATTAAATGATGCTCTTAGTAATTTAAAATTCAAATAGGCACAATGTTTCAAGAAGAAACTTGATAAGTAACATATTTAGAAGAGACATGATTAAGGCATTGATCACTGCTAATTTTAATAATTTATCTTTACCCAACATAATTCAGATTCCGGGGTATCTTGCATTTCTTCCTAACAGCTGCAAAGGATGCCAAGAAGCAAAGACTGAAATCCAAACGGAAAGCAAGCAATCAAAAAGAACTTGGACTTGTCTGCTTTATAAATTTGTACTAACTCATTCAAAATTTCAGCAGCAGTAGAAAGAGTACAACGGCAAAATCGTTGTCCTTCAACAACCATGTCACGCAAAGAGGTGCAGCAGTTTTGGTTTTCTTTCCAGTCCATTATTCCTATATCACTTTTCCTTAAAGATTTATTTATGATCTAAAGTCTTACATCCAAGTGAACCCAGAGTGAGCATGTGCCACATTTCAATGTACCTAATTGATAATCGACACTCATAGTAATGTGGAAAGGTGCAAAAAATATTTACAAAGAGTCATTATTATGGTAGAACTCAAAGTGTCTACGTTTCTAGTAACTTCTAGAAAGCTAACAATAGCCAGAGTCTGTGAGATTTTGGTCTACTCTTGTTGATAGTGTATGTAATAGTCAAAAAAAGTAACTAGCATATCGTCTAGTTTGCACATTTTAATGTGCAACCCAAATATTATTACGAAACAAAGAAATGGAAATGCATACCTGTACATTACTTTCCTCCATTAGTATCTCTTTAGCCTTCTCACATAGAGTCCTAACCTGAATCCACAAAAAATAAATATGATCAATTCTACAGTTCCCACTTTTAGTTTCAATAACCAACATAAATACAGCAATAAACAAGAAGGCCAGATCAATCTACATGGTTCATTATTTGTTATAATTAAGGACAATGTCAAAGTTTCCTTCTTCATTAAAAAAAGGCCAAACACATGAGCACGGAGTGCATAGGAGAGGAAAATGTGAGGTTAATGAAAGACTGCAACTTCTTCACTAAAAATGATTATCAATGATTTTCAACATGTCATGGACATATCTACCTTAATAAAGATATCAGAGATCTAAGCTCATAAAATTTGATACATGCAAAATGCAACATTAATTGTGATAAATCGTTTCCTTCTGGGCAAAACAAAGGTGCACAACAACTTATACTTTTTAATTTTCCAGTGAAGCATTCAGTATCTTTTCTATATAATAAACGAACACGAAGAATGAATTATAAGCTATTTTATAGCTCATTCCCTCAAAGTCATACATAAGAAGATACCTTGGTCGAGCAACTAACTATATTACGGATAGTGGACAACTAATTAATGGAGACAGTACCACACCAATTTCCCATGTAGACAAGTTATCCTTGAAGTCCTTCAATAACTCTCCCTAAATCATTAAGTTTGTTCATATAAAAGTAGGTTATCTCTAATGCCAATAAGCCCATGTTTGAGCCATATTAAAATTCTCATTCTTCTACTTATTTTCAACCACACATTCTTCAATAAAATAATATTTTCCATCACATCAATAATTTTTCCTTCTTTTTCAACCACACATTCTTCATCAATCTACTATTTCAAAATAAATCATTCCAAAATAATGTGACTCAAACACGCCCTAAGTGCTAAACATGGGTTAAAACATAGTTAGAACTCCAACTTATATCATTGACTCCAATTGGTCACTATACTTTCATTTTTGTTTCAGTTTACCCACTCTGTCCTACTGAATTAACAAAAATGATGATGTGGGATGGAAATTCTGTTAGTGCATTAATTTTTTTCCAACTAGGAATAAACTGACATCGTTGGACAAGTCGTGCTTTCGAGATGCACTTCAAGAAACAAAGAAGTAAAAGACAATGAAAAAAGAAAAGATGACTTGTCCAACAAAATATGCTTTTGCCTAGTCAGAATTAAAAATAAATAAATAAATGAACTAAAAAAAATTCCAAGCAACATCATCATTTCTATTAATTCAGCGGCAAAGCGCTTAAATTGAAATGAAAATGGAATTTCAGAGACTATCTTAGGATTAAAAATATTCAGTTACTAAAATGAGACAATGATATTGTTGGGTGACTAATCGGTTTTTTTATCGCTATACATTTATATTTGAAGTCTATCCACAACTTACTTATATTAAATTGTGTTAAGATTTATTTGTCCTGTAGAAACTATTCTTAAAACATTGCAATTGAAAATTCTCTTCCATGAAACAGCTTGAAGGCTGGCAATTTCATAATGGTGGCACATTTGAACTAAGATGTGCTTAAAAGAGTAACCCTTTGTCTATTATTTTTTGCAATAGCTGACGTCTTCAGCCTAATAGGTTTTTTTGGATGTACAATAAATGCATGGTTTCAAGCAAATGATCAATAAGTCAACGGATTCGAATTTCGCTCAATGTGCTAAAATATTAACATGCCATTCCACGTGAAACAAATAAAATATGTACATTAAAAATTTGAGAAGATTTTTTTTTTCCCTTCCTGCAGCCAACCTTCATCTTTCTCTTTCATTTCTCTAGGGTTCTCCTCTGGGTTGTATATTTCATGGTGGACTCAAACTAATATATACTAACTCCTACATTCCCGAATAAGCATGATAAATCCGACTACATTGTCCAAAAACACATAGAAAAGAGTTTTTCCAATTCCCATATGCAGGTATGCACAAATGCAGAATTTCTTCATCGTCTCACTTTTAAGTTAATACATTAACATTTCGAAACAATTGCATCAATCAGGAAAGAAGTACCTTAAGAGAATGTAACTAAATTCATCTTCACTCTCTCGAAAAAAACCCAAACCACTATCTAATACTATAACAAGACCAACACCATCATACTCAAAAAGCAACAAGTATCGCACATTTCTTCGTATTGTTAAATCTACTACATCCATCAGATCCATAAAAATATGAGAGAGAAAAGTTACAATATAACTCGTAAAAGATCTAAAAGGAGTTGAAACCTCGGGCTCCGACAATGGTTTGCACTGCATGAGCTGAGCAATCTGCTCGTCCAAATTTCCATGTGTATTCGCTGCCACCAGATCCGCACTCATTTTGCTTAATTTTGCTATTTTATATCAGATCCACCTTTCTTCGAGAGTAACTCCTTAACCTTATCCCGAATTTCAGGCAACGGGCACCGTGGAAAACACGAAGGTAGGTGTCTGAGAGTTTCGTCTGAGTAGAGAGACAAGGGCGGAGGTGGAATCGAGGAGGGGGAGGGAGGTTCTGGCTGAAATTTTTCGATCTGGTTGAGGAAATTCTTTATTATATGGGCTCGTTTTGAAAGCGAGACGAAGAATGTGCTTAATTTTTAGTTTTTCATTAAAATTGATATTTCTTACTTCAAATGATAGAATATTCATTTTATTTCATCTATTAGAAATCGTTTTATATTCTACGGGCTTGAGGCAAGGCAAAAATAGTCTGGGAACTCAAGGCTCCATTGAACAGGTTAATGCAATGATACAAATGGCTGTGGTGGTAGCCATGGCTTCGGTGGCACCACGGGGCACCTCACGATGCTTCATTAACCCCAACTCATCCTTCAATGAACCAGTAGGTACCTCTAGCCCCAGCCACCTTAAGGATTGAGACACTTCCACGGAAAGAAGAGATTGAAGTCGAAAACATGCCATAAGAGGAAAGCCAGCGATTTTCTCTCATCATCTAATGGGAAATCCGTCTCACTTGGAAGCCCAAAGAGACAATAAAAGGCGTGGCAATTTGTTAAGAGATATTGAAGAAACAATTTTGACATTTTAAACTGATAGCATTATCAAAATAAGATGGAGCTATTGATCCTCGTAAGCAGGCTATCCCTTCGAGAGGATAGAAGGACGAGGAGGACCGGTAGACTTTTCATCAAACGTGTTAGCCTTATAATGGACATAGCTAGAAAAATCAAATGACAATAATAGTCTTTTAACTAATAAACCATAATTTTTATAACTCTCACCTTTGACCTCCAAATGACGCTCCGTTTTATCCATAAATAAGCTAGCATCTTCAATACAAACTCCACAAAGTTTCAGCCCCAACGGACATGGGCCTATTAAGATATTGCCTGTGCAATATACTGAAATTACAACAATGTCATGCCTGACACTGTTGCCTTCATACACTATGTTTTTGAACCAAACGGACTTCGACTGTCGTCTACATCAATCATCAATGGGATGCTTCCTACTCTTTAGACAAGCTCTCCATAAAGCAACTTCCTAAAACTCCATTGCTAATGGTTTTCTACTCAACTACTCCTTGTGCAAATGTGTTGACATTATGAAAAAATTGATTTCGTTTTTTGTACCGTTGACGTAGACAACAGATTTCGATTCCACTCACGTGCTTGCTCCTGTACACTTGGACAAAATCATTAGTCACACATGGCCTTCTCCGGTGGTGGGGGAGGCGGTCGCGTGCACTCCGACTTTCGAGTCAGTCGATGAGGTACTTATATTTGGGTGTAGGACGTACTTTAAACGTGAGCCACTTAGGTGTTTGGGCACCGGATGTGTGTAGGAGAGCATGTAAAAATGGGAGAGAATAATCTAACAAAACTTGTAGTGTTTGGCTCACGTATTTTAGACGTGAGCCACTTAGGTGTTTGGGCACCGCATAAGCGTAGGAGAGTATGTAAAAATGAGAGAAAATAATCTGACAAAACTTGTAGTGTTTAAAGTTGCATTACCATTCAAATGGCATAAGTTGTGATCTTTTATAGTAGTAGAGATGAAGTGGTAGTCGTTGGACGAAGAGGCATGTAGCTTCATCTCTTTATTCGAAGCATCACATTGTAGGCATCATATCACACATACTAGGCCATGCATCATTTAATATACTATGAAAAGGTAGCCACTCAGGCCTAGGTCTGATACTTATATAGTAGGCTAACAAGACTTGACATTCTTCTACTATAACTTGGATCACATCAATCATTCGTATAAGATCTTTATGTAGAAGATCTATTGGGATAAATGAACATGAAAGATGCTCATTTATGGTTAGGAGGCTTCCGCTTCGATAATGTGGGCTTTAGGGCTTCAACCACATACATAGCGCTTCAGCTTCAGGACTTCTATCATTTGCATAGCGCTTCAGTTTTAGGGTTTTGGCCATTTATATAGTGCTTCGACTTCAGAACTTCAGCCACATAGATAGTGCTTCGACTTCAGAGTTTCGATCACTTACAAGTGCTTTGCCTTCAAGGCTTCAGCCATTTACATAGTGCTTCGACTTCAGGGTTTCGGCCACTTACATAATGCTTCGACTTCTAGGCTTCAGCTACTTATATAGTACTTCGACTCAGGGTTTCAACCACTCAGTGCTTCGGCAGAAGCTGTGAATCACCTTGTTTTCATAAGAGTTGGAATCATATTAGGAAACATAAAAAAAATTTCCCCGACTTAGCCTGGGCGGGCGCCCAGTAGGAAATAGGGCTGCTGCCCGGCATAGTAAACGGTCCCTGTTATTGAGATTTAGGGTCGGCAATATAACTCGACGGCTGTCCAGTTATAAAAATTTTACGAATTTTTATTTCAGACATTTTTTTCATTCTTTCTTCCATCTTGGTTCTCCACATCAAATTACTTCAATTTTAGTGTTTCAACTTTTACTCAAATGCATATTATTCTCCCAAACTTCAATCCATTAACCAACTGATCCTTCTTTCTTTTCCAATTGGTTAGGAACGGGTCTAAAACTAAAATAAGATAAAATTACCTTAAGTAAATTTCAATACTAAAATGACACAGAAGTTTAGTAATATGACCCAAATAAGTGCACGAAAATACACTTGTCACACCTCTCTATTGTTGTTTTGTAGCAAGTGGGGTCTCACTTCGGTCATGGATCTTCTGCTTACACATGGCGCTTTGTGTAAATCGTCGATCCGTCATCTTTATCTATGACTTCGGTTCAATTTTTGATGACGTGGAGTGTGGGCCTTTTGTTTAGGCTTCATCTTGAGCCTCGGTTTTGAGGTATAACAAAAACTTTAAACTTGTGTCAAGCTATATTCTCCCATCATCCCCAATGTTCACAGACGTTAGTGTTAAGCTAAGTTGCGGCCCATAACACACAATCTTGAAAACCAACCACTAAAGAAAGTGTTGACCAAAGCCAATGTCTTCACGAGAATGCTGAAAGTTTCGCGTTATTGGAGGAGTTCGATCTCATCTTTGAATACGTGCCTTCGATCAAAGTCTATGCACCTGTTACAAGTTGGAGAATTAATTGAAGTAGAGGAACTCTTCAACTTATTTCTTCATATTAAAAATTCTTGTTTCCAATTCTCTTGTTTGTTCCACTTTTTTTTTTTGTTTGTTTTGGATTATCGTGGTTTTGTTCCAAGGCTTGGAAGAGTAATGGCATGTAATCTCGTTGAAGTGTTCTCCAGTTCATCCCAATTTTCGTCCTTGGTACGAGTAGATTTTGGTGTTGGCTTTACTGTACAGCTTATTATTCCACGAGTCTCTGTAAATTATTCGATTAATCGAAAATCTTTATCTCCTCGAGCCATTTTTCAAAAAATACATTTATGCTTGTTTGGGAGAAAATACGAGTCATTGAAATTATAAATTAATATAAATGAGTGATAGATAAGTAATTAATAATCGTGAATCTTAAGAAATGTATGATTAAAATTAAAGTAAGACTTTCACATTTAAATTACAATGAGATTATACTTTAATATGCTTTAAAATTGGGATAAATATTTAGTGGTAATTTTATTTATTTGTTTATTTATTATTTTTACTCCAGCTTAAACAAATTTTTGGACGGACAACGTTATCAGTGACAAGCTAATTACTTAAATATTAAGGACAAAAATGTGATGATGATGATGATGATGATGATGAATAGATGTTGTGCAATGCAATTAAAATATGGTGCACTTGTAAAAAATGAGGTATGAACTATTTTTATCCAATTTTTAATTTAAAGGACAATTTTCACTGAAAAGACACCAATTTAATCGTGACTCAATTGAATTCGATCGTCCTTCCTCGTCTCTTATGCCTGCTTTAAGTACCCGTTAAGCATCGGTTTTGGGAGTTCATGAGGGGTCCGATTTTGGGTGATTTTTAATAACAATTTTTAAAACAATAAAATCCATTATTGATAATATATTATTAAGCGATCCAAAAAGTTTTTAAAATAATAAAATTACATATAAGCCGATATATGAAAATTGTAATGACAATTTCGGTATATAATTTTTTGTATGAATCTTTTTTACTCATAAATGACATAAAATTTTACAAATAAATTAATTTTTAACTTAAAAAGCAAAATATTAACATATAATTAAATTTTTTATTTATAGATAATTTTTTGTTTATAAGTAAATTTTCCGGTCTTGTATAATAATTGTTTTAGAGGATAAAAAATGAAAGAAAAATTTAAAAATACAAAAAATCAGCAATTTGAAAACCAATTTGAACGCAATTTTGACCTAATTTTCTGCACATATAGTACAAGACAAGGGATAGCATTCAGGGGATCTCCCTCACTTCTCAAATCACGTCATATCATAAAATCTATCACGAAGTGATGCACGAATTCAATATAAATTGGAGATGAAAACAAATCTAGCACACTGATCGAATCAAGAAACATTAAGAACTTAAAAAATCAAATCTTAAAATTGACGATTAAGAACAAGAAACAATTTTCACATATACTTCTTGTATTTATAAATTTCGGGTGATGATTTGCCAAATTTTTTATTGTTTTATCTTTATAAACGTGCCGAGTTAGATTCTTTTGTGTTTGATGAAAATGGATCTTATTATTATTATTATTGTTATTATTGTTATTATTAATTTAAAGATAAAGTAGTTTAGTAAATTTGTGTTATTGATTGATCTTGTATGCTTTGGTTCATTATTTAATTGCTTGATCACAAATTAGATAATTAGTTACTTGTTATAGTGTTGAGATACTCACAATAGATTTAGAGCACCACAATTTCAATACACGGTGCAATAGATGTTAGAAATAACACATGTGACGTGCAATCATACAGATAACCGTTTAATTGAATGCGTTACTTTGCATATAATTTTGGATTAGGAATATGATCGGTCGAGTCTTGCTTATAATAGAATTCATTTATTTTGGTAAAGAAAGTATAAGTATAATTGAATTATCAATTGTCATGAATATACAACTAAATTAAATAGGTCGAAAATTGAAAATAAGATAACAATAGAAGAATTCGGAATTCCAACACAATCATCCCATATTTAGTTAGAAATAATCTTCGATAATTTAGATATACTAAAAAAATCATTTCTTTTGTTACTAACATTTGAATTTGATAACAGATTAATACAATATAATTTAAGATTTATTCCTATGAAACGATACTCTTAACTAATCACATTATTACTTATCAATGATCTCATATGTTTGCAGCATTTATCTGAACACCAACCATCATTCCACTTGTCAAAAGCAAATAACGAAACTACTCTTTTATACGAGTATAAGCCCCTGTTTGGCCCTCATTTTTTGAGGTCGAAAATTCGTAGAATAGTGATCACTGGGAAAATGTGTGGTGGAAAAGTTTAAGATTTGCGTGTAATATTATTTTATTTGAGAATGTGTGTTTGAGATGAAGAGAGAAAAAATNTAAACAGAGAAAAAATTAATGTAATGGAATAAGAAAAAATGTGGTTCAAACGGGAGCTAACTCGAATTAAAGAATGAGGGACAAATCATAGTGAGAAAAAAACGTGTCAATGGTCCAAGAGGTCAAAGATATCAAACGAGGCCGACAAATAGGCTCGCTTAACGAGATGCCACCTTTAGCCTATCTTGAAAATATCAAATGATCTAAATCACATCAACATGGACCACGGAGTCATATGACTTGATTAATTCAATGATTCAAATATATTCATCTAAGAATGATCGAATTATCCCAATCGAATTCATCCAGTAATATTGTATATCCAATCGATAAAAAATCGCGAAGCATCATCATTACTCTCAGAATTCTGGGTAATGCTCAATCAAAACAATTCAACTTACTTATTGTTAGATGTTCTTTGACTGACACCAAATCATCTCTTATTCTTTCAATAAACACCGTTGACTTGATTGTTAAGAGGTTCTTTGACTGACGTCAAATTGTTGTTTCCTTAGTATTCTTCTTGTTGTTCTATTTTCGTGAGTCACACAAAATTGCTAGTGGTTAATCGTTTTGCTCTTCTGAATTGTAAAATTTAGCATCTACACTTGTCTAGTATATTAACCACGTATGAATGAATGCAATGGATCAAGCGTACTAAAGGGTCATGAACCATCCTAGTAGAATGCGGCCTAAATCGTTAAGATTACGTTCATTTCAAAATAGTGTAATGTAACAGTTAATGTTTTGATGGAATGGTATCAAAAGATATGATGATCCCTCTAGTTGATAACTTGATATACTAGCCAGAATCGAATCATCTCCATCCTTTAGGTACATCCCTCTACGATAGGCCATGATTTCCATTTTCTGCAAGCTTCTTATGCCACCGAAAGAGAAGAGTCTTCTCATTAGTTAAGTTTTCTCTTTTTATTTTTCTTCTTTCTTTCTTTATTATTTAATGACTTTCTTAGTTATGTTATCCCCTTACTCAAATCCCAACAATTTATAAGTCTCAATACTCATACATGATATATTCATTTGTTATCTACACATATGGTTGTATGGATACGTGCAGAATACAACACTAAGCCTCCGTTTGATTACTATTATTTTCAAATTCTCTTTTCTACGTACTTATTTTCAACAACACATTCACACAATAAAATATTATGCATGAAAATCCAAAATGAAAGTTACTAGTTCAACCCTAAAATCACATAATAGATGAATAATGCGGAATTAAATTCGTCAATTAAAAGCAACAAGTCACTTTTTAATTGTTCTAAATGTTTAGTTAATCAAGTCAAATTATCTTATGTTGAATTGCCACAATAATTAACAAAGTAGTAAATAACACAAGATTTGATGACGGAGAAAATCTTTAACTAGGCAAAAGCTACGGGACCACGCAAATAGTTTTCACTATAGACAATAAGAACTTACAGTAAAATTTCGCATAGAAAACTCACTAGACTCGTTGATCTAATTCCTACAATTTTCAAGACCCGTTGGAACGTGCTTCACTCACACCTGCTCCCGATCTTCTGAAATTGTCTATCTCCAGTGGAACACCAAAAACACATCGTTCTTGTACTCTTCCTATGCTTCTGTCCAACCTCTCTCAATCTTTAGCAATCTCTAAAAGTTATTGAGAAAATACATTCCTAGTAATTTATAGGAAATGAGTGTTTTGGATTATAAGAAATTTGATATTTCCCAAACTTGTGGTTAATTTATCTCAAGAATCAAAATGTTAATATGTTTTGTTGAATGTGTTCTTGGATCTTATAATGATGTTATGAAGATGTAAATAATGATCAACCACCACAAAAAGCATACTAGGCATTTGATATTTATAATATGAGTTGTTTAGGTAGTATATGATACATAAAACTCTTGAAAAACGCAAACTAAGATTTCTAGGACAATACCGTCGCTCGAGCGAGAGGTGTGTCCCTAGAGCAAGAGCCGGCGACATGTGGACGACAATGATTCTGCTTTGGACGCTCGAGCATCTGTTAGACGACAAGTTAACGTAAATCCGACGGCTTTTTCTTCTTGTTTCATACTCAAATCCAAAAACTCCTAATTCATCTATACAACTCTCTAAAAAACTCATTAACTTTTACAAATCTTTTGTAAAAATTCTAATATTTTACAATAATCATTTTGTCTAAAAAATTGTTAATACACCTAAAAATCTAACACAAAATTTTTCCATACTTATTATTAACAAATTCTCTTAAAAATCATTATTTAAAACTCTATTTTCCTCAATTAATGATCGTCAAATAAAGACTAAATTTGAGTCCTTAATAAAATTTCTATTATTGAGCCTAATTTTTGAAAGAGATTGATCGATACGTCTTAAAAAGAGGAATCCAACGAAAGGGCGTATAATTTCCGTCAAGTAGTCACAATTTTGGAATTAGTATTTTATCTAGAACTTGACCAATACTTTAAAAAATATTAAAAAGAGAAAGGTTCCATGCATATTCATTTAGAGGGAAATTGCGGTGCAAGTTTTCTACTTATCAAATATTTACAAACATTAAATATTTAAATAAAATGGAAGTAGAAGAATCCTTTCATTTAAAAATAGGAATCCTTAAAATATTTTTGTATTTCTTTGTTGATTAATTTTTATTTATTGTGTATTTAAACCTTATTCATAAAATTAATTGGCTCTGGATTCCTTCTCAACTTAAATATGCTTGAAAAGGAAATGGTGGAATTGCTTTCGGTTTCTAGAAAAATAATCTGATTCCCAAAGAAAGATAAGTGAAATCATCCCCAGAGAACCTAATTCCCAAACAGAACCTAATTCCACAAGCAATATCGAAAACGAAATCAAAGAAAATTCTAAATTCTCCCATTCTTGAAAATTCACAAGAAAAAAACCCACTTTTAAATGACACGAAATTTTTTTGAGAATAGTTTGTAATTTGTATACGCATGCTTGTACATCATTGAAAGAGACACAAAAGCGATGTTGATGTTGATAAGTACGTAAAATTAGACAGTAAAATTTGATTTATATTTAGAATTTTGCTACCTATACATCAAAATTGTGCACAAGAGATTACATAATATGATGTGAGAGAAAAAAATTGGATGAAAATTTTGACTGTGTTTCAAACTGACAAATGATAGATTATCGTATGACATTATGTAATTTATTATGTAATATCTGATGTACATGTAGCAAGATCCTTATATTTAATTTTAATATTGCTTGAATCTTCGAGGAAGAAGAGGTCATTCTTTAGCATAATAACGCGTCAGATGGGGTCATGATAAAAACTGGTCATTAGCTTAATCCATTTAGAAAAGAAACTTCAGTGCTACGGTGGCGTTTCTTGATTAAACAAAAGTATTAGACTTTCGACAAGTCAATTTATGAACAAGGAAGCCTAATATTTATTATTTAATGGGAAATTGCATAACTGGTCCCCCAATGTATCGTTTTAGTATAACGTTAGTCCCCACTTATAAAAAAGAGAAATTGATGCTCATCATTTTTTTATATTTACATAATTAGTCCTTAATGATAAAAATTAGACCTGACAATGGACCGAGCATAACTCAGAAAGCCCAACTTCTAACTCGGCTCGTGAACCACACACTAATTTAAATAAAAAATTAATTTTTTTAGAAAGAAATTACAATATACAAAGTAATTGCATGTAAACCTACAAAGATTGTAAGTTAACAGCTTGCAAAAATCCATGTTGTTGGGTGACTCGAGGCATCAAGGAGCCTTAACGGTGGGAGCCTGGTCAACTTATTTGTCATAACTAGATAAAAATTCTCTAAAATTTCATTAAATTGGCACTCCGTTTGTCATATAAACATATCTAACATAGAACTTTTGAATATCAATCCAAATCATTAGACAAAATTCAACTTCATGAAGTTAGATGTAGAGGACTAATTGAAGACTTATAAGGGATTTGGATCATAGAGAACTGATTTTGCAACTATAGTTCAAGAATATGAACCAAATTGATCTATTTCAAATGTTGGAAACCAACTTGCTATCGGGACACTAAGTTGGAGACCAATGGTGCAATTTTTCAAATACTTAATCATTTCTCTTATCCTCACGTGTAAATAAATTTAGTCATGACTTTCAACGTCCATGCAGTCAATATGGTCGGCCATTGAGGTCTGGCCCATAACTTTTTTTTTCCCTTTCTCTATACGTTTATATATCTATATATATAAACATTGTGCATATGTATCTGTATATTCTTCTCTCATCATTCCATTTTCCTCTTAGAATTCTCTCTCTCTTCAGCAAATTCTACAGCCCTTTAATTTCTTATACTGTTTTCTTTGTTATAACTTCTGAAAATGGAGTTTGATAGCAGCCTAGGGGGCATGTTCTTGAAGATTGCCTTGTTTATTCTTGTTCAAGGATTAGTTTATGTCATTCTTACTCAGTCTTCAACCATATTCTCAAAGGCTCCAAGATCATATAGTTTCAAACAAGCTCGATCCATCAGTATTCGTCGATTGGCTGCTGCTTTAGCCGATATACCGGCCGGAAGCGAGTCTCCGTCTCCGTCTTCTGCTCGGGGATTCCTTAGGTCGTTCAGCCGCAAAGATTCATTCTTCTTTGGTGATAATTCGTCGTCTCCACCATCCGGAAGCTTCTTAAGGTCGCTAAGCAGGTCGTTCAGCCGGAAAGAGTCCATCAAGAATGATCATTCGTCTTAAACTTGTATCGCTTCTTTTCTTTTGTATATTTATCTAAATGGAATGGCTCTCTTAGTTACGGTGTGCTTCGACTTGAATATATTGTTCCAATTAGGTCATCCTTAAATTTTGGAAAGACTCAATATTTGGGTTATAGAACTTCATTTTGTTTTCATTTTTATGAATAATGGTTGTATAGATTGGTGAAATTTTCAATGTTAATTTGATTGCTACTCTATTATTGTGAAGATTTCAATGTTGGATTGTATGCCTATGTTTGGCTTTACTTAAAAGTTAATAATTTTTTTTTCTTTTTTTACTCGGTCAATATATAATGCAAATTGGACAATTCTTGTGGTACATCACAAGTTACATCAGGGTGTCCATTGGGGTGCCGGTCCCACAAGCCCCCCACCCATAGGGGGACGTCGGGTGTCCATTATGGACACCCTTATGTATCTTGTGATGTACCACAAGAATAATTCATGCAAATTTTATCATACATTCATTATTATTATTCGTTATTATTCGATTCATTATTTTTAAAATTTAAAATCAATAATAATTTTACCGATCAAGCAATGATACAATTCTATTATTGTGCAGTTTTCATGAGACAATTATGAGTTTCGTGACCCAACAAAAGGGCATAAAAAAAAAGGACCCGCCACTTAGCGTATGATTTTGGTCTATTAGTCGCGTAAAGCAATTAGCATTTGATTATTCTATAAAATATTAACTACTTACCACCTTTAACTATTGAAAAGGAGGAAGGTATCACGCATGTCCTAACGTAGTGGGGGACGTCAGCTTATTAAATTTATATAAATGGCATTTAAATACTTCATTCGGTTTCAATCTATTGTTAACAAGGCACTTGATTCACAAAATTCAGTAAAAATGTTGTTCCTCAACCTATGTGGCAAGTTATGTGTTCGCCAACTAATCAAGAATATCACATGAGTGCTCTTCTCGACGTCTTGTTAACGTTCCCGACGATCCTATATAACTTGTGTAGGGTCGTCACTTTCCTTCTATAAAGCGATTACTGTATTCTAATTCTTAGCGACATTATTTGGATCTCCATGACCGCAAAGGTATAGGCTGAACCTCAGCCCTTGAACAAAAAGGCAGTTCTAACTTACGAAATCATGTGAGAAGTGACTAACGTGACGTCACCTGCAATGTCAGTTGAGTGCGAACATACTTTCATCCACCTAGAATATCGTGAGGGTCACAGACCTATTGATCATAGAATGTGACATTTAACGTGATAAAACTCAACTAGTAAGCCATTAGGATGAAGTCACGTATCAAGCATTCAAAGAACCTTCATTCATTTCTCTTGCTTATAAATGCTCAAACTCAATGCCGGGGTAATCATCACTTTGAAAATTCTCTCCGTAATATAAACCCAACTCTAGAGTTACTCTCCTTTTAGCATCATTTCCACATATGTGTGCGTTCCAAGTGAGCAAACATTTTAAGAGGAGCGGATGGGAGATCTGTTGATGTGCTGGTGTAATACCCAAATCAGGAAAGTTTAAAAGATTTGATAGGTACTACTCATACCATCAATGTGCACCTTCTTTTTCGGAAGTCCATCGTTAGAAACTTTACAGTTAAGCGTGCTTGGCTTGGAGTAATTCTTTGATGAGTGACCTCATGGGAATTTTTCTTGGAAAGCGTGCGAGTGAGGATAAAGCATGCTGAAAAGACCCATTTTGGTACTGTGGGGATAGTACGTCATCGATCTAATGGTCGGGACAGCCCGTTAAGTGGGACCCAGGTCACTATATATCTAAAACCTCTGAGTAAGTAATCGAGAAAAGTAATCCGTAGAAAAATAAATAAGGATGGAGAGATATGAACTCTTTGTCAAAGTCCCTGTGTGAAGAAAAGAAACCACATGGTCGTCCATTCAAAAGTATTGAGAATCGACACCCCAATATACAACGTCTGATCGATCAATCCACAATTGGTCAAAACCAAATGCCCCCAGTATAGAATAAATGAATCCCCAATCTATACGATCATATGCTTTAGCCATTTCAAGTTTCAGTATAACATTCCCTCCACGCATTCTATTAT